GAACATGGGGATCTAAAGATGAGATGGGAAAAAAAGACAAAATACTAATTTCTGTCTCCTCTCCCTCAGGGGGTCCAGCTGTACCTCAGGAAAAGACTGCAGGAGTTATTACCAGTTAAAACTGGTCAGGGAGGAATTGCTCATCTTCAGAGTTTCAGTCTCTCTGTACACCTCCAAATGTCACTCACACTACAATGAGAGGGCAATCTGCAAACATCCTCATAAACCTTTGCAGTCCTTGCTTTCATTGCATCACTGTCTGAGCACTCTTGGGTGGCACTGAGGCACAGTTTGGTTTTGTTGTTGTGTGTTGTGTTGTAAGATTGCCTGGTTTATTTCCTCCCAATGTGTCCTATTTCTAAATACACCATGAGAATGAAATTGTCATGTCAATGAAATAAACAGAGAAAAAACAATTGGTGAACAGAGTTTTTTGAGTAACAGGGAGAAGGTTGAGTTTATGGAGTACTGGCAGGGCTTCAGTGATATTGCTGACAGGTAGGAGAGACCTCAATTAGTCCAGGACATGTTCTGCTAATTAGGGAGATGAACCATACATTTTCCTAAGTGCAAAGTTTAGAAGAAAATGTACAAATTGAAATAGAGTCTGTTCACCTTTGTTTTTGTGGAGCAGATCCCCCTGAAGCCAGTCTTGTTGTTAGCTGTGATTCCACAACCCTGGCTGATGGAGAGCAGCTCCTTCAGCTCCATCTCCCTCTCCTCACTCCCAGCACAGGCAGCACTTGTCAGTAATGCAGCTCCAACTCCTGGCTTCAAAAATTCATAATATCACCCCCTATTTCCTCTTCAGATTGTTCATATTGCACATCAATAGATCAGCACTCCATAAAGTAGTCAGGCTTGTTTGTTTGTCTTGTTTTCTGAAGCAGGCTATACACTAAATAGAAATTCTATATAGATTTAGCATTAAATAAAGTAACCCCACAAAAGCCCATGGAGCTCCCTTGGCACATCCCACTTCCAGTTTTGCTCCCTTGAGCATCTCCATAGGAGGTGATGCTGCTGAGCTCAGTCCTCATGTCAAAGTCCTGCTTTTAATTTAACTTTAAGTTCTCTTTCCCTGCTATGGAATGAGAGCAGGGAGCAGGGTGGCACTGGCTGTGCTGCTGCAGTGTCAATATTGGAGGAACCCAAGGCAGATGGCAGCATTCCCACCACAGCCCAAGGCCACAGCTCTGTTGAAAGCCACTTTTTAATGAATTGAGTTTTCTGGTGGCAACTGGGGTGACCTCATTTATTTCAGGGGCTGTGTCTGCCTGGCAAGGGCAGGCAGGGAGGAGAGGCAGGGGAATGAAGAAATCTCATTCTTACTTTCCAGCTACACTGACAAAAAGGCAAATTTTCCTTCTGAAATCAGGGAGGATTTAAATTGTAAGAACCTGTGGTTTATAAAAAAGGTAATGTAACTTATGAGGCTGGCTTTCCACATGGCCAGAGGTGAGGAAGAGAGGTCAACCCTCTTTCTGCCTTCAGTATTTCCTCCAGAGATTTATGTAACAGGCTGGGCAAGAGCTCAGACTTCCCAGGTGAGAGTGCGGGTGCTCAGGCTCCACAAGTTGATGTGGAGTTGCCAGATTTGGTTGGTCTAGTCTGATTCTTGGATTTCCCTGTTCTCCCCTGCTGTGGGTCCCCATCTGTATGTGCTGGATTTACTGTTTACTGGTGTTTTTCAAGAAGAGACATGAAAGAAACAGACTGAAAGAATGTTTTGATACTTCTATGATCTGTATTTTTTCACCTGTTATGTACATAATCTAAAGGATACAGATGGAAAGAGTTGTATGACATGTTCTGAAGGTAAGCTCCCACTAACTTTCCAGGCTCCTTCCTGTAGTTCCCACTTCATCACTGCCCCACAGACAAGTCCTGCAGGCTCAAACTCTGCTGCATCCTTGGCTGGAGCTTCAGAATCATATTCTGGATGGTACAAGACTCTTCCTTTGCTGAGAACCTGCCCACAGCTGGACCTGTGGTGGCTGCTCCTTGTGCAGCTTTGAGTTGGTGCCGACTCTCAGGATATATCACAATTTGGCAATCTTGCTTTGCACCAAGAACTGTACAGCAGCAGCATTATTTCTTTTTGTTCCATGTATTCCCTGAGTTTCTCAGAGAAAAGGCATTGTGAATTGAACTGGCTGAAATACATAATTTCCTTTTCACAGAAAATCCTGTTGTTCTGGGAAAATCTTTTCTTACCATTTGAACGTAGGACTGTGGTCTTAAAAAATACCTCATGTAAGACAGATCATCTGTATTTTCACTAAGGAAAACTGAACACAAGGTTTAATATTTCCAGGATGCATGTTGACTTTGGAGCACAGTACTGGAATGTGCTTCCAGGCTTTATGCCCTTGCCCAGATCCCAGGCCATGATAAAGAAGGTTTTTCTGGTATTAAGCTTCCCTTCATGTTTCTTTGTTAAATAGAATTTTCTTTGTGAGCACAACTGCTTCTCATAACAAGGATTTGAGTTATGGTTAAGACAGTTCTTACTTGATTGTACTAGCTGAAAATCAGGAGTGTTGCATCAGAATCTTTTGGGAATTATTAAATATTGGCAAAACAAAGCCATTTTCTGGAGCTCAGGCACCTCAACTCTCTGTCCACAGACTCAAGAGGTTTTCCAGAGTGGAAACTCAAGCAGTGAGCAAAAAAAGAGCAAGTATTTCTATTTACTTCAAATGGTTTTGCCCAATTCATCCGAGGAAGAGACCAAGTAAACAAAGGGACCTCCTTTAAAAGGTAGATAAACAGGCATCAGTTCTGTCCATAATTTAAGTAAGGAGGATGCAGAACTACTCCCTCAAGGCAGTTTAACAAATCCTCCTTTGAGTAGGATATGAAAATAGAGGTTTTTCCATTCCAGTTTCTGTATATGTTATAAATGCTGTACAGACAGTTTGGGGAAAAGGAGTCTAAAAATTATTGTTTGTTTGAGTGTTACAGAGCTAGACTTGGAGTTCAAATTGTAAAGGGTGAAACATTAATTAAATGCAGCACAATGAAAAACTACGTGAAAGCCTGAGAGATACGAATGACTTCTTGTTTTGTTGGTTTAGATGATAACTTCCTGGGTTTATTTTTATGGCACTGGGAAAATATCACACGACTCTGTTTCTCTTTGATTCTTCAACTTTAAAGTTTCCTGAACCAGCTCCATGGAGGGAGGAGAAAACTTATTTGTTGTTGTTGTTGAATACCTATTGTGAAGCTTTATTTATAGAAGCCCTTTGTTTGCAGCTGTTCTTTAGGCTTGAAATATGTAGAACATAAAACATGGTGCATCTTTGGGGTGATATGATTTGAAATGATGCAGTGTGCCTGTTCCAGTTTGACTCTTCTGTGGCCTGAGGAATCAGGATGGTTGAAGAAGTGGCACAAAGAGATTTTGAGGAGCAGATATAATGGAAAGCCAGACACAGTGGTTTTGAGCTAAGTTTGGGGAGGAAATAAAGATATCTCCAAACACCTGAAGTTATAACTAGTAGAGCTCTTTTTGCTTCAGGGGTGGTGAGCCAGGATTTGGTAGGTGCAGGGTCATGATGTGCATCCTGATGGGATGGGAGCTCCCTCTGGGATTCTGCAGAGAAGAGGGAGAGGGAAAATTGGGACCACTGTGCTCCTTGAGGTAACACTGGGGTCTCTTCTTCCCCAACTCTCCTAAGGCTTTATACTGTGATAGAATTAGGCAAATGAATGTAAATCCTGTATTTGTACTTCTGACATGGAGCTGCTTAAAATAATCATGGGTCTAGGAAACCAAACAGAGTCTGGCAGCTCAGAGTTACCTTCTAACTCAAGCAAAATGAGAGGAGTCCTTGATTTGGGCTGGCTTGTGGAGTATTTCTGGGGGATGAAATGGCTTCTCATTTTTTGGCACCATAGAACCACTGGGAAGAGGCAAATCTGTCCTGTCCTTCAGCAAACTGCTGTGTTCAATTTACTTCATTACAGACCAACAGTCCAAAACTGCCTCTGACTAACAGAAATGCTTATTGAATGTATACTGAGCATATGTTCAGTGCATATTGAACATGACACCATTGTTACTGCATTCCTTGCTCCCAAACAAAGGATGAAATGTTTATCATTTGGGCTCAGTTCAAGAAGTATGATCTATAGTTTCCAGACCTAGAAGGACAGTTTCTTATGGCTGTACACCTCTAAGAGCAAGTGGTGTGTCCTTGAATGGTTTAGCTTTTCAATTAATGTTTATGTTACTGATAATTTTGTAGAGTTGATCCCTTTCAAGCTTGTGTTTCACTTGAATGACTCAATTTTGGGTGCTGCTGATACATTCCTGGGCTAGCACAAACCCATGGTGTTTTTGTGTCCCTGTGAGCACATGGTGCCACAAAAGGATTATTGGTAATGCCAGGATTCCATGCATTTTACAGGCTGTCTTCCCTTGTGTCAAAAGGTCTGTTTGAAAAGGGCTCTGGTAAAATTCTGCTGAAAACAGAATGTAGTATTTCCATGGGAGGAGGATGCACAGGAGTTGGCTGCACCTCAGATACCTTCATGTCTCTCACCCTTGAGGGCACACAAAGAAATTTGGTGTTGTTTTAGATGTTTGGGGTTTTTTTATGAAGCTAGGAAATTCTCTTCATACTAGTCTTTTTATTTGTATTTTTTAGTTAATTTAGGTGTGCTTGTGGAAAGGAGTAGCACAGGGGTGTGCACAGAGAGGGCTGAGCTCCCTCACACAGCAAAGCAGGATTTCCAGGATGGATTCATTTCCAAGTGTGTGTTCACTTCTGTAACACAAATGCCATCAATCCTTGTCTGGGGAGAAAACCACAGCCATGACATCCTGCTCTGGAAGCCATCCTGGAATGTCAGCTCTCCTTTGGGAAGCACAGGGGTAGCCTGAGAGCTGAGGTCTGTGCCACCAGCTCAGCAATCCCAGTGCTGCCAAGCCTGACCTGCAAACATGGGCCCTCCCTGTGCTCACCACTCTCTGCTTTGATTTTCTCCAGGAGCTCCGACTCTGAAGAAGCATTTGAGACCCCGGAGTCCACTACACCTGTCAAGGCACCACCTTCACCTCCACAGCCTCCCCCTGAAGCAGCAGCAGCAGCAGCAGAAGTTGTTGCAGACGTAGCAGAGCAAGAAATAAAACCTCAGCTGCCCGTGGAAGATACAGGTATTGAGTGGGACACGTTACTGGGGGAGGTGAACATGCAGGGAGCTGTTTCTCTGAGCACTGACAAGGAATTATGCTAATAAATTGGCTGCTGGAATATTAATTAATTACCCATGCAGAGAGGAAAAATCCCTGTTGCCTCCTGGAATAAAGTAATGGAGAATCTGTGCAAAACATTTCAAAAATATTAAAGAAAAGAGGAGCTCTCTAGAAAAAACTTTCTTCCTTTTGAACCAAGCTTATTTTTCTAGGATTTTTACAGAGTCAGTTGAGTAGAATAAGGAGATGTGGGTTGCAGATGCAGATACCTGGGTGAGCACTATTAGCTATGACAAGTAACAAAATGCCATTTTCAGATATGTTACTGGAAGAGGAGGTAGTCAAAAAAACAAAGTACTGATTTTATAGGAGAAACACAGGGCTATGTTATGTATGTATGGTACGCATATGTGAAAATTGGTGAAACCAAAATCTTTGAAAAGGTAGAATTGTGTTTAAAACCCAAAGAAATTCTTTCCCCCAAAAAGTGTTCTTTGTTCTCCAGATTGAGTAATGGAATATGAGGGAGTAGAAAGCATGCTATTAGCCCAAAATAGCTTTGTTTGGGCTGTCAGATGACAGCTCAACAGCTTGAGACTGAATTCCCCATTATGCTGTCTTTTTTCCATCTGAAAGTCAAGTCATCTTGATCACCTGGCTAAATTGTATGCAGATAATATTTTTCCCAGCAGTCTAAAGCTGCTAAACACTTGTATTGTGTTTGGAAAGAGCTGTAGCATCCCACCAAAGAGAGTTACTCATTAAGCAATGCTGTTTAGGATCTTGATTTATGATAGGTTTTTAAGAAGCTTCAAGGATTTTCTACAAACTGATTTGACAAAATAAAAAGTAAATACTGAGGCACCCTGATGCTTTTTCCTTTCTGCTGATAGAGTTCCCTCATCATTGTAGCAAAAGTTACTCAAGTTTGCATCTTCTTTCCTTTTTGTAAATCTTTAGCAATCCAATGATTACAAAATAAGTGCTCAGAGAACAAAAGAACACACATGCTGAACAGGGTTGGAGTGTGCTTTTAATTACTGGTGTAGATTATCTTCAAGCCCTTGGTTACACATGTGCTTCCCTGGCACATGTGATTCTTGTCTCCTTCCATCCCAGTTCCCCCCTCCTTTTTTTTTCAGATCTTTCTGAAGAAAAGTGGGAAACTGAATTTAGCTATTCACAGCCAGTGTGAACTTTATTGGAGGCCGTTGGATGGCAGAGGGGAGACCAGTTCATTTGCAAATCACATTGTCCATGGGAGGCAAGTTACAGCAAAATGACAGAGATCTGTTCAGTGATCCAAAATGACACAAAACACAGTTATACAACAGGGGAATTTATTGGAGGGGAAGAAGATGCGTAATGCAGAAAAAATCCAAATGTAGGAGGGCAGCACAAAGCATCCATTTGTTTTGGAAATCTTTAGAAGAAATAAATAATAGTAACAGTATAGTTTAGGTGTTTAGAAATGAGAAAAGTTAAACATTTTGTGCTGTATAAACCACTTGAGTGTCTCACAGTTTATTTATTTCATACGTTATGCATGTGGCTGCACACAAAGAGAATTGCAGTCCCTTCCTCAGGGGCATTGAAGCAGAGTTCCTGGATGGCACCATAGAGCTAAAAACCAGGTTTCACTGGAGGGGGAGTGAGGAATATGGGCAGCTGGAGAGCCTGGCACGGGCACAGGGAGAGGAGCAGGGTCCTGCTGGGCTCCTGCTTCAGCAGCCACATGGCTTTGTCTGCACATGGGATGGGTGACAGAGCGTGTGTGGGTGGAGGGAGGGAGCACAGTAAGTGTTTAAAGATTCTTTCATCTTTAGCTGACAGTAATTACTTATGCAGAGGGCTGCAGTTGTGTTGCATGATATCATTAGCACAGCAGCTGGACCCCACTGCTGGAAAGGCAAGAGGAGAGGTTTTAATTAGGTTGACTTCTGTGGTCCTTTAGTGAATATGATGAAAGGGAAATAAGCTGCTCTGGTGCTGGGTTTGTGCCAGCTCCTGGTGGGGTGAAACCTGCTGCATGGCTCTGGTCCATCAGAGTCAGTCTGAGGGCAGCTCTGGAGGGGAAGAGGAGCAGCAGAGCAAGGGTGGAAACTCCCCCTGAGCCCCAGAAGTGCCACCAGTGAGCCCTTCCATTCCTCCCTGAATAATGCTGGGAAACATGGCTTATAATCTCACATTGGAGTGTTTGAGGTTGCAGTTATTATTGTCATTATTTTAAATTATTGTTACTTGTCTCCTCAGCTCCCCATAGCAGTGTCCTCTTGTCCCTTGTTTCATCCATCTGAGCACCAGAATAATCTCCCAAGCCCATTCTCCCAAATACTCTGGTCTTGGCCAGGAATTCCTGCCTAGGAACTTTCTGTCACCCCCACTGCCTTCCCCAGATGATTACTGAATTCAGATTGTATTCACAGGGGAGAGTGAGATCTGGAGTCCCCTGTGTGCATCACAGCCCAACAATCAGGATATGGGGCAGATCCTATTTTTTAATCCTTCTGGTGCCAGGGAAATTCGAGGTCAAGCTTTCCAATAGAGACATTATGGTCCAGACAAAAACAAACTAAATTTTTGGTATGGGCAGCATTCTTCTTCAGAGTTTTTCCTCTTGAAGCCTGATATGGAAAATTTGAAAAGAAACTTTTATATAAAATGTTAGAATACATCTTAGAATAAATGACAAAAGTATTTTTACAGAACTTTAAACAAGTGGTACTAATTGATTTTCTCACATCAAAGGGTTTCCATAACAAGAAGGAACTTGAAATAAACCATCTTTCAAAATTTCTGGTGTAAGGCAATTCCAGTTCCTCTATGCTTTTGGCATTTTTTCCTCATAACATAGTAACTGGGTGCATGTTGTATGCATTTTCCATTGTTTGCTTTTTCTCTAGAAAACAGAACTGATATTAAATTTCTTCTGTATTTGCTTATTACATCTGTTAAAATGTTATTGCTAAGCCTGTCAGAAGAGTGTTTCATTTTGTTTCCAGCTCAGCACTCTTAAGGCCTATTTCCAGTTTATTTTTGCTTCAGAGATGCTTCAGCAAAGTAGCCCCTTGCTTTGGCTACTTCTGTAAAAAGGCAGCAGAAATTTGTTTTGTTTGTTAATACACACAGTGTTACAATATTTTATTCATGTTCTCAGGCACAGGGTGGGATTCTTGGGTTTGTTCTGTGCAGGGCCAGGAGCTGGACTTCAGTGATCTTTGTGGGTTCCTTCCAACTCAGGATATTCTGTGATTCTGTGACTTTCTATCAGCTTCTGGTTCTTCCCTAGCAGGTGCCAGGTGAAAATGCCAAGTGTTAAATATGCCAAGTAACTCTGATATTTAGGTCTCATCACCTGAATAAAAGAAGTCTGAGGTTTATGTTGTTGAGTTTGGGTTTGGGAATTTTTTATAGTTGATCCAGTGAAAATGTGGTTGGAATCAGAGGAATTTCCCAGTGGAAGGAGCAGAACTTAGACCTTCTTTTTTAATTAATGAAATTGGGGGTTTGAGGTGCTTGTCTGGCTTTTTTATTGCAGTGTAAGTTCCCCAGCTATCCTCCACATTCTTGGAGAGCTTTATAAAATTTAATATCTTTTTGTGGGCAGCTCTTACCAGTATAAATTGTGGGTGACTCAGTACCAAGAAAAGACATAAACCTGATTTAAAATGTTGTGCTGGTCTCTCTCTAGGGCAGGTAAATTGTGCCTTAAATCCCATCGCTGGTGTCGTGGTATGTTCCTTTGTGCTCAAACTGCATTTTAATAAAATACTGTAGTGATACTGATTGGCTTGATTTTGTGTTGTAAAAGGACAAATGTCTCTGCTCTCTGAACAGGCTGTTAATGTCAGCAAAGTGTGGTCTTCATGGCTTTGTGGTAATAAAGCCTTGAGTACCATTTATGCCTCCTGCCCCAGCAATTCTGCTGCTGCCAGGAGCGAGCCAGTCCTGTCCTGAAGCCAGAAGAGGCTGACAGCAGCATTTCTCTTCTGCCAAGAGCTGTTTGCCGAGACAGTTTCACATCTTGTTTCATAAAGAAACAATGAAAATATCGAGCAGCGCTCTGCAGAAATCCGTACTCTTGAGTAAAAGGGATTTGATGAGGAGGAAGTCATGAAATAAGCAGTTAAAGAAGATTAAAGCCTTGCACTGTGTGGAGCACACAGAATTGAAATGCTGCTTTGTTGGGAGTAGCTGCAAAGCCTTGCATGCTCCTTTTGCATGATGCATCCCAAACTCTTATTTACAGTCCAAGTCCTGCAAGGCAATGGTTTATTTTATTATATTTTACTTTGTTTTAATGCATGTTTATAACTACTTGGAACAAGGGCCTCGATGCTGTTGAGGGTTTTGACGTAGGCAGGAAGGATAACAGTGCATAACTGCAGATGACTCCTCGTTCAGATCCCACTTTGATTTCATGCTGACCTACATTTGTACTCCACTGGCACCCCAGTGTTTATTGTGATGCATTCCCCTGAAGTGCCTCCCAGTCTCCTCTCAGGGTGAAAGGGACAGATGAGGCTGATGCTGGAGGTCTGTGTCACTCTCTGAGTGCCCTTTACACGAGTCCCATCAGTGTCACCAAGTGATGTGTGTGTGAAGTGAGCACCAGCCTAATTAATGACCCCTCAGCCAGGCTGAAACCAACCCAAACCAGTGGGGATTAAGGGGAAAATAAACTGTTCTGAAGTACTGCCACACCATTAGCATTCATTTAGCAGAGAAAACACATTAGAATATTATTTTAATTGATGTATCATAGTGAACTTCCACGGTCTTAAAAGAGAAGCTGCATAGCTGTCATCCCTTTGACAGTCTCTGGAAGTACATGGTGCCACTTTGGGAAATGTGTCCAATTCCCTTAAATCCTTTGCTGTGCTCTACACCCATAAATAGTAATCCTTGCAGACACACAATTTCTTCTGAAACAAAGGAAATCTTTTTTTCCCTTTTCTTAATCCATTCATAACTTCTCACTAAAATAATAATTGATTGTCTGTATTGCTTTTATGAACAGTGTTAATGAATGTAGCAGGGCAAAATGAGAGTTATTCTGCAAAACATGTCAGGATTGGAATGGAAAGGATGAGCAGAAATGTCTCTGAAATCGTTTAGGGTTGAGCAAAACACTCATTTTTTGTTTGACTGTTTTTCTTTATAATTGCATAATTAAAAAAAGATGACAATGTGAGGAAGGCTGTATTGCTTCATCAGGAACCACGGGGCCATTTTGCTCCTGTGTGAGAGCTGAGAGCAGCTGGCTGAGCCCATCCTGAGCTGGGAGCTGGAGAAGCTGCCCCAGGCCTGGGGGACACACAGGGACACACAGGGACAGAGGTGGCCCTGCTTCATTCAGGTCAGAGTAGTGCAGTCACAGCAGGATCAAAACATATGCAGGATTTGTAAAACATTTGCTAATCAACTTAATGAGCTGCAAGGCAGCAAGGACCTTCACCTTCCTGCTTTTCTACCTCTCTATTTTCTAATTTTTTTTGTTAAGCACTCTTTCTCTACTTTGTCCAACAGTTGTTTCATCCCAAGTGAAGAGACTTCAATAAATCATTTTAGGATTCTATTCAACAAGAGAACGTTTAATTGCAGTGGAAAGCTGCTTGGATTAAGAGTCTTGACATAAATCTCTCTACAAAATTTTCTTTTCATCAACAAGTTAGAACTACACTTGGAAAAACCTGGTTTAAATAACCAGTAGGGAGTTCTAGATTTTTAAAGGAAGAATTTTCAACTGAAAATATTTGTGGAGTTCTCTAAATGACCTTTTTTTCTTTTACCTTTGCCATAATTTATTTCACATTAAATTCTCAATTATTCATGTCTTATTATAAACTTGTAATTATTGACTGCTTGGGGCAGACAGAGGAGCAGCATTGATGGGTTGTGGAGAGGAAGCCATTTTCCTCTGGGTAAATTGGTAAAAATAGCACATGGGGAACAAAACTTAAGGTCAACATGTAGTTACTGAAGCACCAGTCAATTTACAGGAGATTTACTTCATAAGAGCTCTGACACAATTGTGTGAGCTCTTTATAGTAGTAGAAAATGGGAGTAAGAAAGTGCTTTATGTGCAGTTTTTCTGGTATTGCCAATATTTAGCATATTATGGTAATATCCATCTCTGTAAGTGATAGTTTAGAAGAGGTGCTTTAGAGGTTATTGCAAATACATATTTTGGTTTTTTGTGAAACTTGCCTTGAATCCTGTTCTGGGGAGAACAGATCTATTTTTTCCCTAATCTGGTTCATATATTGGAAAATCACTTTGGTTTGCTTAGTCAATTCGTATGATTTTAATGCCTTTTACTTGCAGCAGTATTAGATTGCAGTGAAACCTCCTAAGCCCCAGTTGTGATGAGATGTTTGAAGTGCCCTGATTTTCTGTTTGCCCCCACAGGGCTGTGTGCAGAAGCTGAGCCCGTAACCGATGTGTCACACAGTGAGCCAGTTCAGGAGAGCCCCTTCCGTCCCCCCTGCCATTCCTTCTCCACTGTCTTCGACGAGGACAAGCCCATAGCCAGCAGTGGAACTTACAACTTGGATTTTGATAACATTGAGCTGGTCGATTCTCTCTATGCCTTAGGACCGAGCTCTGCAGAGCCCAAGAATCGTGACCCCAAAGCAAATGTCCGGAGAAAATCCACGGATTCGGTCCCAGTGTCCAAATCCACGTTGTCTCGGTCCCTCAGCCTGCAGGCCAGTGATTTTGATGGAGCATCTTTCCTTGGCAACAGTGAGACATTAGCACCCTCAGCAGATGCCTACGGTACTGGTTCCAGCAGCGCTTCCAGTACCCTCAAGAGAACAAAAAAGCCCAGACCAGCTTCCTTAAAAAAGAAGCAGTCAGCCAAAAAACCTCTGGATGCTCCGCTGGTGAAGGAAACCCCACAAGAACCGCCCGAGCTTGGCCAAGCAGCTTGTGAGGACAAAGCACCTGAGGTGAAGGCTGACTCAGCAAAGCCTGAATGTACTGAACCTTCCAAAATCTCTGCTGAGAAAGAGGAGGCCCCGTCTGTGCCTGAAGGATCCGAGCCCTCGGATCTGGACCATTTGGAAGGGATTGGTGCATTCGGCTCCGGAGGCAGCAAGGTGCAGAACTCCCCGCCTGGCAGCAGGAAAACGCTGCCTCTAACCACGGCCCCCGAGGCCGTGGAGGTGACTCCGCCAGACACCGGGGGACAGGAGGACCCTCCCATCAAAGCAGTGAGGCTGGAGTTTGACTATTCCGAGGAGAAAGGGGGGAGTGAAGAGCAGCAGGAGAGCGCTCCTCCTCCCAAAAAAGCAGGGAAAAAGCCTGGTGCTAAAATGCCGCTCCGGAGGCCAAAGACTAAAAAGCCGGTGGAGAAGCTTGACAATGCTCCGACCACCCCGACCAAGTCGCCCACTGATCCAAATGAAATCCCCATCACTAAAGGCTCTTACACTTTTGATATCGACAAGTGGGACGATCCCAATTTTGACCCCTTCTCATCCAGTTCAAAAATGCAGGAATCTCCCAAACTGCCTCAACAAACGTACAGCTTCGAGCCGGACATGTGTGAGGACTCCATTGATCCTTTCAAGACTTCTTCTAAGATTGCCAGCTCGCCTTCCAAATCTCCAGCTTCCTTTGAGATACCAGCCAGTGCCAATGAAACAAATGGGACAGAAGGAGACAGCCTGAACAAACCTGCCAAGAAGAAGAAGACGCCATTAAAAACGTAAGTTAAAGGGCAAAGATGTTTCTTAGAATAGAAGCAGCACATCCCTTAGCACAGTTACACAGGATTTGTAGCTCAGCAGGGAGAGGGAGGTGACTTTGGGTGTTGGTGGCCACAACTGGAGCCATGCTGAGCTATTCCTGCTCTCACCCTGCTTCCTCAATAATTTGGTATTTCCAGAACTACCAAGCCACATTAGGAAACTGCATTTTTCAAGTCTTTGGGCTCAAAGTGTAGTTCTGAACCTGGTTAAATTTTATTTAGTTATATACCCAATTTTATTGGTTATGTACCCAATTTTATCAGTTACATACCCAATTTTATCGGTTATGTACCCAATTTTATCACTTATATACCCAATTTTATTGGTTATATACCCAGTTTTATCAGTTATGTACCCAGTTTTCTGTGACCTCGTTCTGGGAAGTTGATGGATAAAACTAATCACACCAGCACAACTATTTTATGAATCATTGTTTTTGAGCGTGGGATGTGAAATAGTGACAGTGAAAGGCAGTGTCAATCTCATATTGCAAACAGCAGGAAGATGATTTCATCCAGTGACTTATGGTATTTAAAAGAAAATAACCTGAAAGAGAAGAGTGCAGTATGGAAATACATTTTTGTATATATATATATATGTACACGACTAAGAAATGTGAAAAAATTCCTTTTTATGAAAAAGCTTACAATTGTGCAGAGTTTAAAATATCCAAAACTACTGTATTTTAGGGAAAAATCCAGCTTTTAGATACGAGTGACAAATTCCAGGATAAATTTTCTATGTTGCTGTTAGATATTTGGTTAAAAACCCCTATGGCTGGTTGCTGATTTGCGTGTTGCTTTATCTGCACAGATATGGTTATTTTGAGTAGGTGACCACTGAGTTTAAGTGTCCCATATATCTGAAATTTATCTCCTGTGTATATCTGTAAGAAAGTATCTCAGTTCATGTTCCTTTATGGTTTAAATGTTCCAGCTGACTAACAAAAATGGGAGCAAATTTTTTAAATGCCAATTTAAGATAAGAAGATAACATGGTTAATGTAAAGCAGTATAAAAGCTGATCTCCTGTACAGGGTGAAAGGGAGATTATTCAGATTTTTCTGAATAGCCTCCTGCATTCTAAGTTTCTAATTCAAGTCCCTTGTCAGATTTGAGGAAGCTTGTGCCTTTATTTTATTTTGTTTCTAGGGGCATTTCTGAGTTACCGATAGTTTAATTTTTTTAGTTGAGTTGTTTTCTTTGGGAGAGGAGCCTGGTTTTTCTGGTGTTGCTACTTTTTGAGGTTTACCTGAAATTTAGTAGTAAATGCCATTTCTCCATGCCTGCAGTCCAAACTGATTTGGTCCAAACCAAGAAGATTTAAAAGTCTTGACAGCAAGAGAGGAACAATTTGAGTGTTACTGGGGATATGCAGAGGGAAATTTTAATATCACCAGATCTTTAAGTTTTTACAGCCCAGCCAGTGTTCTTGTGTCTTCCAGTAGCTGGAGCTGACAGACCCCCAGAGTGGCCTCTTGGGTTCTCCCATCTGCTTTGAATACTGGAAAGAATTCCAAAGTTCTTAATTTAGGGGGAAAATGAGTTTACAGAGCGTTTACTAAGCCATGTTTGTCCTTGAGAAAATCCATCCCAGGAAAATTCTGTCTTGGAATCACAAAGTTCAGTGCTGGTGTTTATCAGGGTGGGGAGGTGAAACTTCCCCAGCTCAGGGCTCACAAATTCTTGGGTCAGGAGGGCTGCAGGAATTCCCAGCCCGTGCTTGGCCCTGCTTTCACTGGGCTGTGATGTGTGCTGCTCACTGCAGCCCTGTAACCTACTTTTGCAAATTTTTTTTTTTTTTTTTTTTTTACAAAGATGAGACTGAATATTAATAACCCATTGCAGCCTGCAGCTGTGGTACTTTCTAGAAGAAAATCACCTTCAGGCTTGAGAGGGGATGGCAGAAGGTTTTATTAGCTCTGTTGAGGGGTGCAGAAGTCAAACCCTGTTTGGAAATGAGTTCCTCATGTGGAAAGGCAGTGAGTTCTAGATTAGAGGTGAAGGAGCCAGGCATGAGTTCAAGCCTTTGCTGAGCTTGTACTGCTTTGAATCTGAGCCATGTGCTCAGTCTAATATGTAGGGTAGGGTAGGCAGTGGCAGGAGGTTTTGTTAGCCCTGTTGAGGGGTGCAGAAAAATCAAACCCTGTTTGGAAATGAGTTCCTCGTGTGAAAAGGCAGTGAGTTCTAGGTTAGAGGTGAAGGAGCCAGGCATGAGTTCAAGCCTTTGCTGAGCTTGTACTGCCTTGAATCTGAGCCATGTGCTCTGTCTGACATGTGCTAAATCAGTAAAAATAATCAATTTTTGTTCTTGAATGAAACTGCAAGAATTTAAGCGCTGACCTCCCTGTGAAAAATGAGGATTTTACAAGCGATGTGAGCTCGACACAAACTGCTCTCATCTCCCCGAGTGCTGAGCTGCTTGGAGGCAATCACACTGCTCAGGTGATGCTGAGCAAGGAGCAGCTGATGCCTCCCCAGAGCCAGCTCACAGTGATGAGTAAAAATAAGTGGTTTGTAGAGATACTGCTTGTGCAGGCATTGCTCTGGAAGCCCTTGGATGGCTGGAGGCTGTTTGGAAATGGAAGGTGCCAGCTGTCATGAGCATTGCACGTGAGGAGAGATGAGCAGAAGCTGCCAAGCTTATAAGTAAATGGAAACTTCTCTTAGTTTAAGATGTTTGGCAAGGTTTGGTTCTGCTTTGGGGGTAACTAATTTGCTGTGTTAGAACACCAGGTTAGGTTTTGGAGAGAGCCAAACCAGCTGAGATTTAAAGAAATGTCATTTTCTATCCTGACCTGGGTAAATGGCTTGAAATGGTCAAGTGGCTTTTTCTGTGCTGTCACAACACATCAGCAAACATGACAAAACCTGGGATAACTCTGCCCTCTCCTTAAGCTTAGCTGCCATTCAAGAACAGTTTTGCATCTCATATAATAACAAATATTGTGCCCTGAAAAGGAAGCAGGTGGCCTCCATCAGGGCAGGCAAGGACAGTTAGTGTGTTGAGAGGAATTAACTTGAAGGTGTCAGCTTTGAAAAATGTGTTTTGTGAGATGAAAACGTTTGAACTAGAAAACATTGAAGGACTTGATGAATATTTTTATTTTCTCCTTGTGTATTTCAAAATAAAAAGTAGGGGTTAAGATTATACAGGTAGAAAATCTGCATGATCAGATTGCCTTAACACATTAACAGTATTTGTAGGTTAATCTTTTTTGTCAGTTCCTTCTGTCTGTCTCTCTTTTCTTTGTCTTATTTGTCTTAGGATGGTAGAAGATGTGATGTCTGTATGTTCTCTGTTGTAAGTAATTCTAAGCTAACAATTCAAATTTCCTCTTTGATTTGTGGGCTTTTTAATTTTACTTATTTATTTTGCAGCATGATCAGTTATTATTCAGCATGCAGCTTTTATGTTAATGATTTCACTTGCACATATGAAAGCTATTTTAAGTAAGACGCCTGACTGTGACTGTTTGCCTCATTATCTGTTGCCTATCAAAGAAGATCCTCATTTAAAACCTATAGAAATTTTGTATCGTTGAGCTAAAATATGGAAGTTTTATTTCTACCACTGATCAACATTGTGCAATCAATTCCTTGTAAATACTGCATAAAATGCTTGTCTTTCTTGAAGGAAAAAGTTATCCTAATTAATTCTGTCATCATAACTGGATAATTAATGGCATTGAACACACCAATATTCAGCTGCCCAATTTATTTTCCCCTCTAGATGTGGTATTGATTTACCCTCTGCCCATTGAAACCCACCATTAAAATTTCTGGTGTCAGCCTTGCCATCATTGATCAGGGATGAGCTGGTGGGCTCAGTAATTTTTGCCACTGCATCTCAGTTCAAACATAAAGTCTTTATCAGTGAGTTTGCTAGAGTATTTTTCTCCCTTTTGTAGCTAGTAGCATCAATAGTTTTGAATAACTCTAGCAATGTGCATTAAGAGAACAGACAGATAGTTTATTCCTGTCTAGAAACTTAAGCCAATTTTTTAGCCAATTTTTAGCCAATTGTGAATAAAGGCAACATTAATAATTATATACCATCATGACATAATTTATATTCTTCATTCATTTTGCTTGACTGAAACCTGTGGGATTTGGGAGGGCTGCAGTGTCCGTGCTCCCAGTCTGCACTGTGAGGTGTCAGGGGAACTGGAAGCAGAATTGCCATATTTCTTGTTGTATTTGTTTTTAAAAAGGTCTTTTGTGTCCATTTGTAATGACACAGCTCATTCTGGCATCTGGGGAGCAGCATCTGCCTCAGATGGTTTTATATAGTTCATCTAAAGCAAACCAGGTTTTTCTTCCTGGTTTTTGGGGTCATTGGAGCCTAAGTTTGTCACAGTTTTAACTCCCAGGTGAAGGTGTGGGTTAGACCTAATTTTGGGATGTGAAACTGAAGCAGACAGAAGCTGAATCATTTCCACAGGGCCCTGGAGGGAGCCTGTGGTGGAGCAGGGATTTGAATTGCAGCTGAATTTGAAATGCAGTCTGCTCTGCGAATGTGTCAGGAGCTAGCATGAAAAATATGGCAATCCTGCTGCTCTCAGCTTTGGAGGGATGGAGGCCTGTTCCAAGTGCATGACAAAATTATGTACCCATGGCATGGTTCTCTGTGGTGCTGCTTCCAAATGGATGGGATTTTAATGCAGGAGGGCTTACAGAGGTTGCATTGTCTGTGGCTGTCTCTTGCTAAGTGTGAAATGACCTGATTTTTGCTGCTGTTACCATATTAACAGTTTGAACTTTATTTTCAGTGATACATTTAGGGTGAAAAAATCACCAAAAAGATCTCCACTGTCTGATCCTCCTTCTCAGGTAAATTGCTGCCTTATTTTGATGCATGTAATTTGTGTCCTTGAAGGGGTAAAAAGAAGGAAACTTTATTAATTTAATTGGAATTTAATGTTTAATAATGGAAGATATTTTTGTTGTAGACTTGTACTTTCAGTAATAGAGGAGATTTTTGTAAAAAATGTGCATAAGTCCCAAGTATAGGACATTAGGCTATTACCATAAAGCATTAACCTTTTGTCCTCTAAATACAATATATAGTAGATATAGTATTTTCTCTGGGAATTCCAGCTAGAGTATTAGCTAATGTACTTTGGAAAGCCCTCTGTTAAGATGGAGCAAGGAAATGAGTAAATATCTTCAGTCAGTTGTCTGAAAAACAAGACTATCACTATCCACCGTGGAATTTTTAGATTAGGAAGTAAGAAACTAAATGCATCAAATTGGTGGGTTGGAAGGGAAATAGAAATAAACCAAGTGGGCTGCTCTCCCAGGAGCATGTGCTTGGATAGCTTGATTCCATGTTGTAAACTGCTGGCAGGTGGTTTTCTTGGAAGAGAAGTTGACAAAAGCTGCTCTTCCACAGAGGCCTGACTGCTTTGATGTGGCACAGCTCCTTCCATGCTGCTGCTCCTCTTCCTGCTCTCCATCCTGCCCTTTTATTTGTGCTGCTTGGCAGTGTAGAAGTGAAGAGAGGGGAAAGGGTTCATGACCTCGTGGCCCTACAAGGGTTTGCTCCTATGAGGGAAGCCTGAAAAGTCAGTTTTGGTAGTCAGGGACTTCAGTGGTGGGTGATGTGTGCCACTTGTGTCAAGTGCATTACAGATTTTAGCAGCTCTGGATCTTCTTTCTTCCCTGTTATCAAAGCAGCTTTGCAATGCAAGTGTTTATCATCAAAGAGCTGAGTTATACTGGGAGAACTCACTGCTGGTAGAGTTAGTATTTTCCATTAAGTATTTTATACAACACTGCAGCAGAGATTATGGAATTAAAGAGATGGCTCTGGTGGTGCAGGGGAATTCAGAGATGGAGCTGTTCCATGTGTTAGTGAAAGATAATGGAATTAACTGGCTCTTGTTTGCTGCAGGATCCCACTCCACTGCCAACTCCAGAAACACCTCCTGTCATCTCCACGGTGGTTCACGCCACGGATGAGGAGAAGCTGGCGTCCTCTGTGACAGGGCAGAAATGGACCTGCATGACTGTGGACCTGAACACCGACAAGCAGGACTACCCCCAGCCCTCTGACCTGTCCACCTTTGTCAATGAGACCAAGTTCAACTCTCCCACAGAGGGTACTGCTCCAGCCAGGGGGGCTTGCTGAGAGACAGGGCTTGCTTTGGCCAGGGTTATTCTCTGCTGAATGCAGACTCTTACAAGGGAACCCTGAAAATGGTGCTGTGCTCTCTGGGCCATTTTCTGGGGAGCTGAATGTAAAACCCCAACAGTCCAGCCTTGAGTTTTTAGGAAAGAAAAGATGCTTAAAAGGAAATGAGAGGGCTCTTTCAGAGAAAGGCTTTTACTTCCTTTGTGTGATTAATTGTTCTTTGTGAGCAGTGTGTTCTCTCATTGACAGGAGAATGGGGGCTGCTGCTTCTCCAGAATCACTGAACTACTGATTCTGCCTGAGCCTGTTCCTTAACCTGCATGGGGAAAGGTCCCATGTTAAAATTCTGCTCAAATTTTCTGTATTGCAGTAATACCCATACCATGCCATCTCTCTTCCAGCTTCCTGGTATCCATACTGGTAGCCATACTGGGCTTCCTGGTAGCCATACTGGGCTCCAAGTATCTTCATGCATAAAAGTGTCCAGGATATCCCCTCTATAAGATAGTTACCATTCATATTTCCAGATAAAATTCCCTACTAGGTCAGCTATAAAAGTTTTTTCCTGCCATACTTTCCTATGAGCAGCTGGGAGCTAAAGCTGGAAGTTTCTGTTTAGAGAACTGTCATTCCAGGTCTGTGAAATTTGGAAGGGACAGAATTAAGAAAATTTGTGTGTGGCCTTCCTTGGGGCTACCAGAGGGAATTCTGCTTTGCAACATCTGCTCCAAAGGCAGATGTTCAGCTTTGTGGGTGGGAAACATGTTTGAGTTTAACTTGGCTTAAACTTTTTCTTCTTGATTAGAATTCATTTTTTCCCCAGCCTTTCAGTCCCTGTCCCAATCAACTATTAAATCTACTTTCTGCCATTTTAGGCTGGGTCCAAATTTATGCCTGATTAAAAAGTTTTAGGTCAAGGTGGTAGACATCAAAAAGCAACAACAGTCACAGTGCTTTTGTTGATATGCATATGCTTGTATGCCCTGGGCTTTTCTGAAATCTGTTGAGTATTCTAAACAAATAAGTATTTCAGTCTGGATGAATTCATTTGTCTTTATTATCAAATCATAAATTGTAGACATTGACTTCCCTGTATTTGAATTTTAAAAAATAACTTAAAAACCAGTTTTTATAAAATAAGCCCCCCTAAATCTGGGAAGATGGAAACTATATGAAAGAAAATGGAACAAAAGAATACTGAGAGACACTCTGAAACAATCATTTTAGCTTTCAAAGTGGGTAGAAGAAAGTGAGCAAAGCTCCTAATTAAATGGTAATTGTCTTGTCTCGTGTGTGCTGCATGGTACAGTCGAGGTTTCAGATTACACACTCATTATAATCAACAATGCTTCTGCTTTTCATATCTCTTAAAAATAATAATTTTTTTCTCTTTGACAGTCTTGCTCCTGCAGCTTTGAGAAATTTCTGAGTAATTTGAGGGCTGTTTCTCAGTGTAGATATTTTTACCTCTCCCAGACACCCGTGTGTTACCCTGTAACCTAACACTGCTTCTGTACAGATACAGCCCAGCTCCTGAGCCAGCCAGGGCATCCAGCCCTTATCTGTGTCAGGCACTGCCTGTAGCTGCTGCCATTTTCCTGTTGCACAGACCCGAAATAAGCTCTAATTATTAGCAGAAAATTCTGATGTAATCTTGCAGCTATTTGTAGGAGGAGTTGGAGGACATCACTTAGTAAGTCTGTTGTACGTGTTTATAAAAGATAATTATCTTGCTTAGTGGGATATCCTGGGCTTTTCTGATTTTGAATGTACAGAGATAACTAGAGCCTAAGATTTTGGAGGAGGGGAGATGATGTCTGAGAGGAGAGAGAGAGATAAATTGTGCTGGAGACTCCTGAGAGCAGTGAGACGAAACAAACTGCGTTTAGCCAGCCGCGTTATTCCTTTTGTTTCTACTTGGGCTATTTCCATCTGTGTCCTGCCTGGTTTTTTGATTTTTTTTTTTTTTTTTTTTTTTTTTTTTGTCAGCAGTGAAGCTGAATGTGTGTTGTCCCAGCAGTCAGTTTGGATTGGGCTTGCAGGGCTGCTGGCAGTGCTGCAGGCAGGTGGAGGATCCTGTGGCTGTGCCAGCAGAGGACAGTGCCGGAACGTCTGCTGCCCCTGAGGCTGCCCGGACACTCTGGAGCACAAAGCTGCTCCATAAATGCTCCTGATGCACCTCACTGGGCTGTCTGTGCCTAAATGGGATACAGAGGGGCAGTTTCTAAACACTTGCTGCTCTTACCTGGGATTTCAGGCTTTCTCCTGCAGTTCAGCTCCTCGTAGAGGGTTTGAATTCATCCTTCCAGTTTGGGTTTTGCTTTCACTGGGAAAAGAAGTGAATGAGAAAGGCTGCTGCTGGTATCTGACACCAGGAGGTTGTCCATCTTGCCTGGCTCCTTATTACCATTAAAAACATGCGGTGCTAGGAATTTCAACATGAGGAGTCTGCTATTACAGCTTTCTCTTCACTTACAGGTTTTACTGTGAACATTCCCAACCAGTACTGAGGGCTTGTGGCTCCTCCTCTTCAGTGGTTGTTTTACAAAATACGTAGTTTGTGGAATTACAGTCCTTGTGCAGTGCTTTTTATTACTAAAAAAGCAAATCAAGCATTGTAAAATGACATTGAACCCTCTAAAACTTTCTTCATCAACAAATCAGGCTAGAGATTCTCTTCAGGATTGTTTGTTTTTAAACATCAAACATTTTAATGGTGGTTACCATCTTCTTAATGCAAGCTCTATTTTTCAAAAGCTGCCTAAATCTAGAAGGATTTTAGCACATGATTTTATGATAATGCAAATGCTAGTGTGCATTTCCTTAGGATTTATTTGGAGTGGGAATCAAATTATGCAAGCGGTTTATTGGATTAAATCATGGAAACAGAACAAAGCACAGCATTTGGACAAATTAATTATGCATTTAATTTTAAATTAAGTTGTCATTGTAGGAAGTTTGCTTTTATTTGAATGCAGGAGGATATGATCTCTTTTCCTGTGTTAGATTTGTCTGCTTCTATATCAACTACTGCGTGACCACAGACTGGGGAGAAATGCTGGTTATTCCTTCCAGTGTAACTGGGAGATTAGAAGCAGAGAAGCAGTAAAGATTTGCATTTTTATTAAATTTTAGACTTAGGGTTCTTTGTGAATCTTCCTGCCTTAAACTCTTTCTCTGAAAACAAAATGCTGGTGCCTCACTCCTGGTTCATGAGCACTCAGGTATTTTAGGTTCCTTTTTCTTCACTGATAGCCCAGTAGTTGTTCTGAATTGAGTGTGATAAACATGAAAAAATAGAAATTATTTTTTCTCAACAGCTGTTAAAATATGTTTAAAAGAAATTGGCATCAGCATTGCCATTTATTGAAAAAATGTGTTTTCTGTGATAAGATAACATGATAGTTGCCTGTACTCTGAAATTACTCTGAAACCTTTTCAATATTCTGGTCCCTGGGGCAAATTAAAAAGCTGATTTTTTTTATGGCAAACTGATTTGCCTGAAATGTGTCAGGTTCATTGTTGAAAATGAGTGAATATTAACACCTTTTACTTTCTCTCGGTATAATCTATTTTTAATGTGTCATTGGAAAGTATTGAGCAGAGTGGGAGTGGCCCCTGTCAATGAGAAGAGCTCTCATTTACTTCTGAAAAAAAATCATGTCATGGCATGTATTAACACCTCTTTTTTTTGTTTCTGTTGCAGAATTGGAATATGGCAACTCATATGAAATAGAATATATGGAGAAAATAGGCTCCTCTGTGCCTGTAAGTTCTCACCTCTATTTCCATTCATTTGCATTCCCCTGTCAGAATATACTACCCTGGTAATGCCCTCAGCCCCACCACCCTTTAAATTAATCATAATGTGCCTGCAGCAGATTTGCAAAGCCAGTTCCTTGAAATTGGCATAACTGGGGTAAATTGCCTGTGCTTTGTTGTCCTGTGTCCTGTAAAGCTTGTTCCATTTCATGTTTTTATTTCTAAGCTAGCATCATAGTAGTTTTCTCTGGAGATTCAAAGCCAGTCAGTATTTCCAGCAGTGCAGAGTGCAGAGCTGTCTACACCAACTGCTGAACTCTTTAAGAAATCGGGAGTAAAAGTTTGAAGAAGCTGGAGGGAACCAGGAGAGAAACAGAATTAGTGTGAGGTCTGGAATGCTGCACTGTACATTATCACTTTTTTCACCTTTTTAATCATGGATTTCATAGCCTGACTAGATCCAGTGAGTGGATATCCACTGGAGACATTAGGAAAATCACTCAGGTGGTGCTTAAAGCAATGAGGATATTCAGTGGATGTTTTAGTAACACCCTCAGCCACGGGGTGCCTCTTGCCTGACAGAACCAGAAATCTGATTAACTCCAAACTGGGGGAAGAAGAGCCACTACAAAGAGTGAGCCGTTTAGGTTTTGTCCTTTAATGGTTCCTTCCTGGGAGCATCCATCTCAGTATCAGCATTACAACCCTGTATTATTAGTTTTCTGTCAACTCATTTGCTCACTAAAGGCTTCAGTGACCTGAATTATCTTTAATGGAGAATGGTTGAATTGCTTAATGAGTTTCTCTTTCCCCGTGGCCAGCAGGATGACAGCACCCAGAAGAAGCAGTCCCTGTACCTAATGTTTGATGCCCAGCAGGAGAGCCCAGTGAAATCACCTCCCATCAGATTGTCTGACTCCACAACTCCCTGCTCAGGGTAGGTCACAGTGAGCAGTGCAGAGCCTGCCAGGGGGCCGTGTTTCCCTCAGAGCACACACACAGGAACTTCTTCCTCTCTCTGCCTCTGTGCTGCCAAGCTGTTTGTTTAAAAATAGATCCCCATCTGTGTACACATATGATAGAGAACAGAGGGCAAAGAGACACAAGTTTCATGGTGGAATAAGGACATGGATTTCTTCTTCACATTCTAACTAAGTAATCACAGTGGCAACTGTTTTACTGAGTGGTGACCTCCAACTTAAAGCTTTTTCTTAAGATACTGAGGTAATTTTCACGTTATTCTAGAAATCTGTTAATTGCAGTTTTTCACTTGGTTTTCCCTGGATACGTTTTCTGAACAAGGGCTCTTGTTCCTAAGACCAGGATGTGGGAATTGTGTTTACTTCCAATAATTTTGCTTGTCAAGGACAAATGTTCTTGTGAGTAAACGTTGTGTTTTGGAAGAGAGGTAGGTCACAGTGAGAAAGGGATAAAAAGGCAAGTGAGAAATACTGAAGAAATGTGACCTTTCTGATAGAACTGGTTTTATTTTGATGTCTCCAGTGCATTGTTTTGAAAGGATATTTCAGAGTGTTATGAGATATATAATGATGTAAATTTGAGTTGAAACAATGTGTGTATAAATATATTTTCATATATACACATACACATGAAAGTGATGAAGAGGACTTGCCCAGCTGCTACCAGAAGCAGAATTGTGAAGCTGAAAACATGTGCACAATCATTTTCCAGGTCGAGTTTTGAAGACCCCGAAGCCCAGCAGTCCTCTGGCATGAAAATCCCACACCCAGCGTCCCGAGTCCTCGCTGCCAGCCAGGAGGCACATTTACAGTCCCCTGACAAGGCCAAGCAGAAGGACCTGGAGCCCATGACCCTGGGAACAACTCCAGAGGCCATTGAAATCGTGAGTCCTGTATGATAATGGTTTGGGAATCTCTTCCTCCAGAAATTCTGCATTTTGCTTTTGGCCCGAACAACTCAGGCAAAGTCTCTGTTGCTTATTCAGCCTCATCTTTACCTTTAAGGCTTCTCCTGAAGACTCCTTTGTCTCTGCTGATGCTCTTCTCAATAGGATATCTAAGAAAGCCTCATTATGTGATCAGCCTGAATATCTAGATCCTGACCTGGCAGAAAAGAACCCCCCAGTATTTGCTCAGAAACTTCAGGTTTGTAGCAGAAATATAAATGTCCTTTTGTTTCTGTTTGTCCATACACAGGCAAAGGAGTGCTTTGCCTCATCTAAAAGGGGTCGAGGGAGGTTTGGATGGCATGTGGAAAAGAATTAAAATAATTATTTAATTCTTTCCAAAGTAACTCTCCCCTTTCAAAGACATGAGGAACAAAGATATTTTCATTTAACTCATGTAATTCATATAACACATAACCTTAAATTTCATCAACACCTATCCTATGTACCTCTAATGTATGTATTTTCCAGAAGTCTTTTCAAAGCAAATTATTTTAAGCTTGAGCACAGGACTTGATGTGTGGAGAGTTGTCTTGGCACCTGGCCTTAGTAAGTCTCTATGTATAGATTCATTTTTTGAGATTCAGGACCTAATTCTGCTGAAATGAAAATCAGCCTTTGTTTTTCTTGTAATTTCTCTAATGCAGAATTTGGCATGGTTTCTTCTAGGAAAAGCAAATGGATCTGCAGAGCAGTTCTGTATGTCAGGACATATTTTTTGGAATATTTACAGTGAAATTTTAAAAAACAAAAGTTGAACTAAGATTGACGTGTGGCATAAATTCACATAAAATGGAAATGAAAAAAAATAAGAGTCTGTGATAAAACAGCTTTAGCTTCAAAAAACATTTCTTTTACATGAAGTATTGTTCATACTGATTACCTAATACAAATTATTTTTCTGCACAGCTACCTCAAAACTAACCAAGCCCTGGAGTTTTGCATCACAGTCCTCACCATGAGAGGAATTTGGGGTGTTTGTCACCCAGGAATTGTCTGAGTTACACGTTAAAATTTAACAACCCATTTTTGAGTGTGTCAGACTTTTCTTACCATGTTCTTACCACATTTTTTTCCCTGTGGGGGACTGCCCCACCAAACCCTGTGACAGGAGGAGCTAGAGTTTGCTGCCATGAGGATAGAAGCTCTGAAGTTAGCCAGGCAGATTGCCCTGTCCTCCCTGCGCTCCAAGGTACCTGCTTTGTGCCTGCCCTGTGTGTGTGAGTGTGCACAGCCCGAGTGCTGCTTGTCCTGGGGGGCACCAGGAGCATGCTGGCAGCAGAGCTGACACAGAAATGCTGCCACCCCACTCACACCCCAATTAACAACAGGCAAGAAGCAGCAGCGTTCCTGCAGCAGGAGATGGATTCTGCGGTCCAGGTAGTGGTTGTCATTTCTCTGAAGCAAGATTTGTCCTGAATTGTTTGATGGTGAAGAGTACCAAGGCTGGTTTGGCCGTAAGGACATTCTGTCTTCTGATAGTATTTTCATCTTGAAGTCAGATACCTTTGACCCTCAGTGTTTGGAAGGGAAGAAATCAGTCAACCTTGCCCTCAGGCATCTGAAGAAAGGGACTGCAGCAGGGTTGGAAGGGCTACAGAGCTCCCAAGGAAAAAAAGCCTTCCGTCACAATGTGCCTTTATTCATAAAGATCTAAATCTTACTTTTTTTCAATGCTACTTGCAGGTCCTGCTGGTTAGTTGTGCCTCACAGTGATGCTTTGCTCTTCTGTAGGATTGCACATGGAACTCACTGTGTTTGGAAAGCCAAAAAAGTCATTCCATAAATGTTGGTGGCTGTCTTGGGAAAGGGTATCAGCTGAATGGGATGGCAGTGTCCTGCTGCAGTGAGACTTCTCATTCCAAATGAGGAGAATGTGCTTCTGACACCCCCTTCTCCAGTAACCTTCCTCTTGTACTGTCCATTAATAGGTCAGCCCAAAGTCTTTGCCCAATCCTAAATTGTCTGAGTTCATTGCACCACAACAGCATTTGGGCTGGTTTCAGGGTAGAATTTCTTGGTGCTTTAAAGATCAGCTACATCATAAAAGTAAAGATTTTTTAAAGGTTACCTGTACTCCTCTGGAAAAACAATGATCATATTTGATTTATTTCACACAGCTTAAAGCCCATAAGTCACTTTGTTTCTGCTGTGCACATATATTTACTAAGGTAAACACATTCCTCACGGATTTAAGAGTATTTTAGAGTATGTGGTTATAATCTTTTATTTAATTTGGAAAAACATGCTGTTGTCTTCATTAGAAGGACTAACCAAGCTGAAACCTGTAATGAGGAACATAAAGAGCAAAGGAGGAAAAACAAAAATAATTTTCCTTTGTGTGACTGTGTCCCCTTGCTCTGCTGTCCTGAGTGTCAGGTGTTGGAAGAGAATGAGGTGAGATCCTCTCTAGATCCTCTCTGCTTCCTTATTCTCTCTCAAATTCCTTATCCTCCCAACACTGTGCTCTAGGATGAAGGATTCAGGACCTCCAGCATCAGGAAACACCTGAGATGAAACACATAATATTGCATAGATGTTCTTCTGTTTAAAATCTGCATTTCTGCAACCAGCCAGCTGTTCAGAAACTCACAAATTGTACTCTTTTAGACTGAAGAGAATGCATTTGTGTGTTTGTGAGTACTTGTGAGTTACCTATGGGAGATTGAGAGCTGCAGAATTTTTACAGAATGTGGGGTTACATTTTAAAGATGCTGTTCAGCATCATCACAGCACCTTGTTTTGTTGGAACAAGTTTTGAACTCCTTAGAAATATGGAACGGATTTCATGTGACTTTTTAGAAAACGTCACTAATGTGTGTAACAGAGATAACAAAAGGATAAGCAGAGGTGAGGAGAGAAAAACAGGCAGAACTCCCCGCTCTGACAGAGAACTGGCAGCACTTATTGATGATGACAGTGCCCCATGTTGGTCCAGGCACAGCAATGCTTGTAGGCCAACACCATGGGTGTCATGTTAGGCTGGGAAGGACTTTTGTCCTTGCATGGCTTTGCTATTTCAGTGTTAAATTAGCCTGTGATGACACCCCTTGTGACCTACAGTGACTGATGGCCTGGATTAAGCAGAACAGAAACCAGCAGATGACTGCAGTGACTTAAATTTGGATGCTGCTGGCAGAATTCCCTTCTGGATGGCTGGCCTCTGTTATTTTCTGAATGCTATATAATTACATTTAACATTTGCTAAATGATGACTGAGTGGGTAACAAGAATAGGATGATAAATAAAGACAGAAGCACTTGTTATGATTAGATCACCTAAAATAAAGATTAAATATAAGCACTTTGTGCTAGCACTAGGAGTGAGAATAAGGATGTGCAGATTGTTGTTCTCAGGGTGAGGGGAGTTATTTGGCCACTCCCAAATTTCTTGTCACAGACTTAAACAACAGCAGGCCCAGTCACCTACTTTTACATTGCCAAGTATTTCTGCCTTCCAGTGTTGAGGTAAATGAGTTATTTTCTGTTGAACAGTCTCCATTTGGATGTTGTGAGGTAATTTTTTGTGTCCAGCACCTGTGGGTGCTGAGATAGGATCCAAGGAAAATAAAAACTGAAAGTAAAGGCATGGGCAAAAATGGAATTAGTGCATTACAGCTCTGTGGGCCTCTCATGGCAGGAGGAGAATTATTTCCTACAAACAGCAATGCCATTGATTTTAGCAAAACTTTACGGGCAGAAAACTTCTGCTTGGGTTTTCCTTGCTTTTCCATGTATTTGCAAGCACAAGTAGGTCTCACTTTGCCTGCCTTGACCTGTCTGCTCACACATCTATCAGAAGAATCCATCATTCCATGCACACCCAGGCAGCATTTCAGGGGTTTGGAAAGGACAGCCTCATTTCCAGCAGGGCTAAACACACATTCCTCTAACTGCTGGGATAAAAACTACTTTTCATTTTCCTTCCATTTCTCTGTTTTCTCCCTCTCTGACCTCCTGGAAGTGAGATAGCTGCAGCTGGTTAATGGATGTGCATTTGTTTCCCTTCTGGTCAGATATCTGGTTTCTGTGAAAGGTGCTGGGAAGAGAAGTGTGTTGAGCTCTCAAATATTTACACTAAGATTGCTGTGACCTACATTTTGTAGTAATTCCCCTGAAGACTAATCTTTCTGTGCAAGGTTTAGTGACTTACAAATCCCTGTGATGATTATTACCCCAATTAACTGCTTACCTTCTCAGCAATTAGGTGTTAAAGCATTATTATTGGGTTATTTTGGGTAACACCATCATCCTGTTGGTCAGGTGCTGTTATTTTCTCAGGGCAGGAATATTTTGCAGGCAGCAAATAACAGTTACTGAGTCATATGCATCAGTTAGGAGCTGTGTAAAATTGGCTTTTGAAGTAAAACCATGATGACTTTTACTGGTTACTCCTGCCAGAGAGCCCAGCTGTGACTTGTGCAGGGTGTTCCCAGAGTTAGAGCAACACTGCTTGGACCACTGCTACAAGCATCTCTGCTCAGTGCTTAAATTCCAAGAGTTTTTATGGTCTTTTTTTGAAATTTCAAGCTGTTCTGCACGTCATTATTGCTATTGGTTTGTACATTTTCATCAAATGCAAAGAGAGCTAGAGAAAACATAGCTGTTTTAATGATCTGTTGTGCACTACATAAAAATACCTATAAATATATATTAAATGCTCTAAACATCTTTTTCTTTAAAAATTGTCATCCTCCCAGCAGTTACTTTGACATGTTTTTATATGAGCTTGAAAAACGTTTGTGTTTCTTCTTGGCACAATGAATATTTTCCAGCAATCTCTTTATGAGATCCAGCAAATTAAGCTGCGGGAGGCTTTTGAAATGTGACAGATGCAGTTCAACAGATCGATCTGAGGGGTGGCCTTTCTTTGGAGGACAGCTTTGATGATCTAATGGCTCTCTTTTATCTCTCAGTTACTCCTACTTTGTGATTAAGGAGGGAGTAAAGAACTTTTTTTTTTATTATTTATGCATTTACAGAGGTGTCTGAGCTTGTGTGCCAGATGGATTTTTGTCCTATGCAGTTGTTTTACATTTGGAGATACTTTCAGACCACAGGCTATGCAGTTTTGACAGATCTTGGAATGGATTTTTTCCTCAGAAAATCCACCGAGTTTGAACTTGCGCCTCCTAATTCTGCTGGAATTGATCATTATTGTAGATGTTCATGTTAAATGTAGCAAAAACAGAGAAGGGATAGCCTGCTCCATAAATCCCAGAAGAGTCAATTGACTCCTAGGTGTAAAAACAAAAAATACCAGTAAATTAGTGAGGGTCTCCTGTAAATGAAGATACAGTGAGGTGTTCTGTAAGTACTGTTTAGGTTATTCTTGTTCTAATTACATTTTCTTGCCTAGTCTTTTAATGTTGTTAGTGTTTCTTCATGTTCTTTACAGATGTGATATCCAGAACATCTGGTCCTGGGTGCATTGTGTACAATTTTTAATACAGCTTCTTCAGTCAGGTGTGATACAAGAACTCACAAGGGATTACAACAAAATTAGCAGTGGGTTTGGATGCTTTCTGTGATGCTGGGCAGTGTGAGAAGAACTGTGAGGAGGTGAATGTTTTATGGAATAGCATCTGGCAAAGTTTCCTTTACCAGTGTTGAGACAAGAATATGTGATGTTGAAATTAATGAGGACTGAACCTTGATCCAGACATTATCTACTCCTTTCACATCCCTGTGCTTCAGTCACTGGAGCGTGATTCTGCTATTTTCTTTTAAAAAAGGATAAACAAAACAACTTAAACAAAACCACCCTCTTTTACAAGAAAATACAAGAAAATAATTATTTTCTCTTTTATGTAAAAAATGATTGCAGTACTCTACATTCCTATCTTAATTATTGCAGATAAAGCGTAAAGACTTAGCTACAGCATTAGTGAACTTGAATGAACAGAATACATTGTTTTATGCACAAAGTTAACAGGTAAACTGGGAAAACACATTATCCCTTTTTCAGCAGCAAGGAAAACAGGATTTGAATATCCATTTCCATCAGTGGATGGAAGAAGGCAGTGATCAACCTGACTTTCCTCCCCACTCATGGTCCAGCCCTTGTGGTGGGGGCTTGGCAGTGCCCAGAGCAGCTGGGGCTGCCCCTGGATCCCTGGCAGTGCCCAAGGCCAGGCTGG